CATACCCTCGACAATGACGCCATTCCCCTTTTGTTAGCAGTCCCTCTCGGAAAACCCCGAAATTCAGACCAGCCCAGTGTGTTTTTGAGTGATTTTCTATTGACATTGACCACGCGTAATCCTGTCCGTCAAGTAAGCAGCGCAATAAAGTCACGTGACCGTGCACCAGGGATCACAAAGAGGAGCCAGGTCAAAAGCAGAACCGTATCCGAGTCATTTTATCTTAACTAATCGTGTTGAAACAGATGAGGGCGCAAAGGGGAAGGCAGCGGCAGAAGCGAAAATCGACTCATTCCCTGTCTATCGGCGATCGCATGTCTGGCTTAAAAATCACGTCTGATCTCCTTTTTTTTTTTTTTTTTTTGGCTCCGGCAAAATTGATATAGCCGACGATTGGCCGCAAATTGGTTGGACACAATAATAGGCACAACCAAACTATAGTAGCAAAAATTACAAATCAAAACATTTAGATTTTTTTTTAAGTTTTTCAATGTTTACAATTGGTCATCACCGGTACCTTTTTTTTTTTCGTTTACAGGAGGGTTTTGTTGGCAACAATGGAAACGTGAACAGAGGATGTCATTTGGAAGCAGCACAGCTCGTTCCTGTTGGGTTACAAGAAGTTTGATGGTACGAAATGAATGCTCGAGAAGCTCACTACACCGGAACGAACCATAATGCGCGACATGCTCTGTTTTATTAGGACTGCCTGCATTGCTCGTCATCAGGACTGGCCTTACACCATCAAGCGCCTTGGGCGAATCAGGCTGTGGCGCTCACCCCCCCCCCCCCCCCCCGTTTTATTCCCCCATTTAATCCCCCCCCTTTTTTTTTACAGCAGTTTCGTGTCCGGTACCGAACAAATGTCGACACAAAACTCTGGAAAGCTACCGCCATCTATGAGCGACGGCGGCAGCCAGACAACTAGTCTGGTGGCCGCTTTCGCTCATAGATGGCGACAACCTTTCCAGCTATCACAGAAGAATGGATATAGTTGGGTGAGTTGGTGGGAATTCATCGTAGGAAACAGTGCGAAAAACATACGAGGACAAAGAAGAAACACACGAGACGAGCACATAAATAACCACCCCGGATCGTTATATACATGTCTGATTCTTTAATCTTTCAAGTAACCAATTACCCATTCACCCCTTAATCCTTACATTTATAAATACCTCATTCCCACCATAGTACAGCTTTCATGGTCTTCCTTCTTCGCCAGAGTAAAAAAGCTAAAAGTTCTTTTTTTTTTAAATAAGTTTATATTTACTAGGTGCGACATCATGTCTTTCGCTATATCTGTTTCGAATGGAGAGAGTGTTTCGAAAATGTGAAACACTCTCGGAATAGGACGTATTCTGCTCTATAGGGAGCTTCCATAGACCGTTCTCCCCACCTCCGGGAGGGAGGGAGGAGGGCGTACTAAAGGCTGAGATTGGGAAAAAAAAAAAATTAATGGAAATAACTGCTCTTATTTCTAAACGTTGACATATTGCACTAATCCCTAGGGCCTAGGAAACAGTCACACTCACAATTCAGTTGCATGTAATCATTTAGAAGGTCCTGCTTCCAAATGCGTTTCTTTGCCATTTTCAAACACGTGCTTTTCTTTGCCATTGTCGAAAAATAGTGTACTGTTACCAACCGAGAGTCTACATGAATGCTATATCCAGTAACTGAAAAAAAAAAAAAAAAAAAATTCTATACGCGGTTTTGCGAGAGGAAAATTGTTTGTGGGCAAGAACAGTTGTAAATTTTACTCTCTGTGTAATTAATTTCAAGCACCTACGGTTATTTTTGTGAATTATATACTTATAACGAGTAGGCATAGTTTCGGTTTGCTTCAACTCGCTTGGTGCCAATTTCGACATTACGCACTCCGGCGAAAACGTTGAGCTTGTTATTTTTCCCTCTAATTTCACTTGGGTGTTAACCATTACCAGATCCATGGATTCGCAATACTCTAGCAACATCCTCCCAGCTGCACCAGTAGCCCCATCAAAGTCTTCCAAAAGGGGCATTCATGTCGCCCGTGATAATAACTTCCCGGTTCCGATCAATTTGCCTGATATCCCTCATTATGCATGCCAAATGTTGTGTATTTTCCTCTCTTGAGTTGCTTCCTGTTTTGAGACATACAAACCCCCGGAGCGTGGCTAACCCACCTATTCTGCCTTTTAACCAACCTTCTTAACCGCACGGCTAATGATCAGTGTTGCCCTCCCTCTAGCAGATAGTTTCGGTTTTGCCGTAGACGGCCCGCAACCAAACTTTGAGCCCTAATATTGATCAAACTAAACACAATATCGAGAAAAAAATAATGATAACTTGTGTTTATGGACACTGCTTTAGCTAAAAACACTCGTAATCCCATCTTTTTAAAGAAAAAAAAATATAGAGCGGAGTTGCCCTTTAAAGAGCGGTCAAGCTTTCTTAGAACATTCTCGGAGTAAGTCTTATTGCGCCAAAAAAGACTGACACCTTTAACGTTTCAGAATATTTTTTCTATAACATTTTTATAGTATTTAGGCCATGATTTGCAACGCAATTCAATCCCTTCAAAACTTTCTTCTTTTTTTTTAGTTGGTTTAGTATTTAGTATTAAGCTCACGGGGGAAAAATAATTTGATCCGCAGCTCCTTAGTTTGCCAGTAGAAACTGCTGTATTGCGAGAAGATGAATACGTTAATCTGCACAAATGGTTCTTGGTAGAGTTTCTTGGGGGATGATTTTAATATGTTCGGTCGCACATTAGCCGCGAATTTATTTATATATATATATATATATATATATATATATATATATATATATATATATATATATATATATATATATATATATATATAATTATTTTAATATTAGTAACATTTCTCGCTTGGTATACTACATGACGTCAAACAAAACTGACACTTTTGACTGTTGATTTTATTTTAGCAGCAAGAAAGTAAAATACTTACTAATAAATTTCGACTTACACAGTTAGATACGAAAATAACTACCAAGATCTGATTAAAAATAACAGGAATTACAAAAGTGTGAGCATATAATGTAGGCATATTGCCTTTCTCTACATGAGAATGCTGATATGTCAGAGATGTCTGTGCGACTATTAAAGGCGAGATGGGGAAGGGGGGACAGACATCTGGCGTATTTTTTTCCTTTCGCTTGGCATCAAATAAATAGAAAAGCTTTACAGAAATATTTGGCCGTGTTAGCATCGCCTTATAAGAAGTGAACTGCTCGACATGTACATCGAGAAATTTGAGGCCATGAACGATTGGTATGTTTCCTGCAGTGTTCCTGGTTTGTCTTTTGTTTTTCTAAGTCGTAACGCTCTACTACAAATTCTCCCAAAATTTGGACATCGCGAAAACGTCCCAATTCGCTGTATTTCCTCGGTCTATGGCTTTCACGATGTCGGCAGAGTCACGCCTTGGACGGAGAACGGGGCCATATAACTGAATATCTGGCTCGTGCTTACATTCACGCTTAATGTACTAAATATAGATCCAGTTTTTCATGAGCTCAGCTGACCACGTTGATGTGTGAACGAGTGAACGATCATGTTGAAAAGAATGGCCCTTAAACATGGAGACACGCGAAGTCAACTAACAAAACGACCATTTCTTTTTAGGTTTTATTTTATTGTTCTATCGTAGCTCGTTGACAGTTCGCCTGCTGCATGGTCGCTGTCACGTAGCATTGACAAGCGATACAAAGGAGGGAGAAAAAAAAGCTACACAGAAGCAACATTGCTCTCCATTCCAACAACTGCACAAGCAGCATTTCCGCCTACTAGACGAGCCAGCGCAGATGCGACAGCCAGCACACGTCGGTAAACCTAATTTCACAACACAGGTGCAAGCTTTTAACAACCTCTAAAGTAGTCCAACCGTACATAAGTTCCTATACGACGTAAATGAAAACCTTGTCAGAAATAAGGGCGCCGTTTCCCCCTTATTTCTGTGTTCACTTTTTCTTTCAAGTTTCCTTTCCCAGTCTCGGGATTTTAACATCATGATCAACGACGTTAATGATTCAAATGGGGGTTAATAAGTTAAGCCCGACACCCTGTCTTGGCGTCGCTTCTTTCCGCATTCTTAATCCCATAATCCGGATAATCCGTTTCGTTCAATGAGGCATGAACGAAAGGAGCACAGACGCTTTTCGATGTCGACCCGAGTTACATGTCAAATATTCAAGCTCGAGATCGAACGGAGATAAACAACACCAGGAGTCAGACATTTTAATCTCAAAACGACCAGTTTGTAAACCCCCCCCCCCCCTTTTTTTTTTTTTGTGTGTGTGTGTGTATTAGATAATGTGAGGTTAAGGTTAGTATTTGAGATTAGTACTAGGGTAATATTCATGGAAAAAAGCCGCCATCAAGACGGGTGACGGCGCAACTGACACATATCCTACAAAAATAACTATATATATAAAAACAAAACTGTCAAACCTTGACGCCGCTTCCTTAGAAAATATAGAACGATCGTGACTTTGCGTAGAAGACGAATTGAACATGTGACGAACCCAAAGCAGATTCAACCCAAAACAGTGGACCCAAGAGCGCGCGAGGCATTGACCTTCCACTCAAAAGAATCGATCCAAAAGGCGAGCGAAAAAAAAAAAAAAAATCGGGAGAGATGTCAGGAGGTTGGTTAGGAGATGAAATGCGTTGCGATTCGCGCTGCATCCAAGAAATTTACGCTGCACTTTGATCAAAGCGCACATTCCGAAGATCTCGGATCGGAGAGTCATCCGAGCTCGGGCTCACGAGCGATCAGGTGCCAAAAGAGGCAAGCTCGCGAAGTGGGAGTTGCCCGGTGAGCTCCGACGCACCGGCGTTAGAACACCATCGACAAAGTTCCGGGGTCGCCAGTGATCGGAATCATTACCAAGAAGGTTCGCTACAGGCTTTTGGCCCGCTCACGAACAGATCGGATCGCGACAGCTGAACTAGGAAAGTCGGAAAACGCCCCGAAGAAGCGAGTGTTTACCTCGCCAGCGGTCCGGTCTTCTTGGCTCGCTGACTCAGGATTCGTTCAACGACGGCCAAGTTGCCGTTGCGCGCCGCATCCAGCAGCTCCTGCTCTTTGCCCATACTTCAGGAATATCCCCGGGAAATGTGGTCGGAAAAAAACTCACATCTCGAAAGTCACACCGATTGGAAACACAGCAACCCAACTCGTCCGGGGGAGAATCATTCGGAGAACCGAGATGCGAAGATGGCTTCCGTTCGAACTGAAGTAAGCAGTTTCGTATCTAAATTTTGAAATTTAACCTTATAATTTTAAGGTTTTAATAATTTCTATATTATTTTATAATTACTATATGTAATTTACTTGACAACTATAAATCAATTTAAATACGAAACTAGTTTTTTTGTCTCGACGTCTGATACAACTTGTTTTGTTTTGTTTCGCTGTTCGTGATAATGTTTAGGTGGGCCGTTGCTGCGCACAGGTGAAGATTTGGGGCTTGAAAGAAATCGTCTCTATGTCCATCCGATCGCGGAAATGAAGACGTTAGTAGTCTTCATCTGTTTCGTCGCCCAAGCGGTGACTGACGACCCGGCAGGTGAGAGACACCCGACGCCAGTTTTCCTTGCGGTTCTCTTGTCAGTCACAGTCCGAACGCGTTGACATCGCAGGAGCCGACTTCTTGCCCGATCTCTCGGGTTTCTCCTTTGCCAACGTTATCGCCGAGATATCACCAATTGTCCGATCAAAGATAGGATTTTCGGATCTCGGCAACAATCGTATCGAGTCTCAGAATCAACGATGGGCCGCCAGTAAAACTGAACCGCAGCGAGTATGTGGTTGGTGCCCGTCTTCACCAAACTGCTCGAGTCGCCTCTCTAACCGATCGCTAAAAAAATATGTATATTAGTCACGTCGAAGTTAAGAATAGTTGTTTTTATGCGAGCGGAGAGTGGTAACAAAAACTACCCGATGCGTTGTGCCTACGGGTTTCTGAAGAGCTCCACCCGGTAAACCCTCCCCCTTTCCACTTTGGCAGAGTCAATGCTAGAGAGGAGGTGAGGTGGGACTCGCCTCCTCGCCTGTGTTGGTTCTGCTAAAGTCTAAAAAATGCTGGGCTTTGTGGGAAAAGCTTGTCCTGCTTTTCTTAAACTGCAACGTGGTATAGCGGTATTCACTGGATGCCACATTTGAGTGTGCTGTTTAGAGCACATGCTTAGAACGAGCTCACATAAATAGGCTGCTAGGATTAGCAGTCTTGATGGAGTGAAATGCACGTTGCAAAAGAAGGTGAAAGCTCGCCATCAGCACGCACTCAGCAGTCGCACAGACGGCTATGGCCGCCAGTGAATACTCCCTATAGATGACGAAAGCAGCGAGGCCGAAGGTCTTACGCGAGTCCATCTGCTCACTCCCGTCGCACGGATGCCCACGCCTCGGGCCGTCACGACCACGTTTCTGCGCTACCAACTCGAGTGTTCACCTATCATTTTTGTCCTTGTTGCGACATCCTTCACAGGGACGCAAACTAAAGCCATGACCATCCCTTTTCCAGGCGTCGTCCTCAAGACAGTCGCAGCCGAAGTGACCGCTGACGTGAGCGACTCTCCGAGTTTCCGCACCAGGACTGTGCTGCCCGGCCACACGATCACGCCATTCCACGCGATCAACGTTCCGTCGACGACCCGTTACCTGCTGTTTCAAGCGCACACGCAGACGCTGCCCGTGAGTTTGTCTTACTCGACGCGGAGTCCGGCACCGAGCTCGGCTAGCGACACCGGCACCAACGTCGGCCTGGCCGTTCTCTTGGATGCGTGGGCAGTCGACGCCGTGGTCTACGTCCACAACGTGAACCAGGGCAACGTGACTGCTCTCCTCGTCGTCTCGGCGCACGGCACGTCAGGTAGCTTACTGCATTCGGCCCTAGTCCTTCGTGCAAACAAGTGGTGCGAGTGCGTACCATTTCCACCAAGTTTGGCGGGCTTGTCGTATAGATTTCAGTGCGAGTGAAGTGGAGCTGTAATTCGGATTTTTCTTATCTCTTCGCGAAGACTACTGCTAGCGCAAAAATCGAACAAAAAGCTTGTATCTGGTCGTCGTGCGCAATATTTTACCCAACAGGTGATGTTTACGGTGAGCGAGTTGAAGGGTCTCGGTCTCCGACAAGGTATGTCTGCCCGCCTACATACGCGTTGGGACACGACTCTCGACCCCAGGGCAGCAAATGGGAGGCGCCTCGGCCGGCTCGGGGCCAGAGACTGCGTATTCGGGCGAGACATGCCATCGAGCGATAGGCCACACGCGGGCGTTCGAGATTAGGCTTCACGATTGTCACCGTGCACCGCCTCGAAACCGAGAGAATTCCGCACGAGATGGCCTCACTCATCGAATCAAACTTCACTGCCCAACCGGTATAAGGGCCAAACGTTCTAGCTCTCTGCGCCTCGAAATTAAGTTGCGGAAGAGAATGACAGGGCACGTGAACATGACCGGCCACTCAGGTCGACTGCCGGGGGTCACTTGCCTCTGCATTGTACTGCCTGTAAATGCCAGCCCAAATTCAACAACATCACCATCATCGGGAGGGGCACAGATACCAGGGAATTATTGGAAGCGTATGCAATAACAAAAGAGGGGCAAGATGCATGCGTCAGCCAGACATTGTTTTTTTTTTCACAAAAAAGAAATTGCCTATCTTGACATGTGCTGAAGCGATAGTGCGGTTTACTTCGTTAGTGTTTTTTCAATAAATGTTTAGTTGTGAGTTCAGCACTTGTGTCGTTCGCACCTTCCTTTCGTCCTTGTCTATTTTTGCACGCTGTTTAGTTCCGTCTTGAAATTAAGCTTTTTCACCGCGAGAAAACTGTGGGGGCTTTTCTCTCTCGCTTTTCGTCTGCTACGTGCGGTGGCGGCGCAGAACTCTGAATATTTGACTGGTAATGGGTCCCTCGAGGCACAGACTCTTTCGCACAGACTGCATGATGCCAGAGGAAGTCTGAGTTCCAAATAAAAGTGGTGTGGCCGGTCTCAGACTCGCATTGGAACTTGCATTCGAAGAACCCGTCGGGGTTGGGTCTCCGCCAGCTCGTTTCGGGCCCAGAAATTGCCCGACGCAGAGGGTGCATCCCACCTCCACATCTCCCACCCAGAACCCCTGCCGGGAGGCTGCAACCTGGAGTTCCCGGTGGAGGTGTCCCCGTTCCTGCGGCTGTCGCTGGGCTCCGCCGACGCCACTCTGGAGTTCCAGCACGCCAGCGCGGGAGCGCCCAGGGAGGCCCCGCCCCCGCAGTGCGACGGGGGCCTGTCCTCCTTCCGCTACGACCCGTACCTGTACTACCTAGACCAGTGGGACTTCTCCGAGAGCCACTACTTCGACGCGCTGTCCCGCATGCTGGACCCCGCGTCCATCAGGAGCAACGCCCATGCGGTACGTCGGGCGGGATGCTGCTCCAAAGGGACAAGGGCGCCGGACGAGAGGATGAGCCAGCTCCGAAGGGCTCCCGCCTACTTTCTAACATCTCACTCTTTTCATGCTTTGCAGGCTGAGTTTCGTTTTTGTCTGTCTTTGACGGCGCCCCCTCCTTTGCATAGAACTCAAATTCCGAGTCTCTGGATCAAATCGAAAAATACACTTACCGATAACGACTGTGTCCGTCAAGATTTATGTGAAAGACTCCTAATATTCGATGTCACAACGGCGAAAAAAAGCTGGGATACCATGCATTACTCTTGGTAAAATACTGGATTACTGGAGTACTGGTACCAAGTAGAAGTCACTCCAGTCTCCTTCCTGAGCCGAGATGATTGACGGATGTTCTCATCGTCTATGTTTGTGTTTGAAAATGGACGAGTGCTGCCATATTTTGGGGCTATGGCGGAAACTGATTGAAACACATACATTGTACTAGCCATGGTTCAGGCCTTGTTACAGGGGAAAAGACAGAATTTTCACACTCGCGTAAGCTGCGAGTGGAAATGACATATTGTCCAGTGTCCAGTGGTATTGCATTGCGAGCTGAGGCTCTTAATTTTTTCTGTCCTCCGCATAAACGTCAAAAGGAGGCCTAAAAGCGACAAAAACCTCGAAAAGAATCCTCTAAATTATTATGCAACAAGCCCTGATTCGGTGCAGTATTCTTGTAAATGTTGCTCACAGCTAAAGGCACTTTCAATGTCTTCTGACGTGTTGGTACAAGGATACTATTTCTCTTTATTTCATAGTCGGGACAATTCCGCAAAAGATAAAACTAAATGCCAACTTGTAAAGAATTGGGCATGTAACGGCGGTAAAATGTGGTTAACGCAAAATTTTCTATAAAAAAAAATTGGCAGTGACCTTGATTTTCAAAGTCCTGTAATGCATGAACTGCATTACAAGGAATTAGTGTGTCACGTGGCGTATATTTTCCCGCTAAATTTAGCGGGTAAACTGGATGGCTGTATGGGTCACATGACGTTAGGTCATGTGACGTTGATGTCCCCCGCTAAATTTAGTGAGAAAACTGGATTTGTGTCGAGGTTACAAGACGTGACTTTTCCTGCTGAATTTAGCAGGTAACTGAGTTGATGTATAGATCACGTGACGGCGATTTCCCCAAGGTGTATGTATAGGTCATATGATGCCACTTTCCCGCCAAATTTAGCTGGGAAATTGAATAGGTGTATAGGTCAGGCGACGTCAATATTCCTGCTAAATTTAGCGTAAAAACTGAATTGGTCTGTATGTCCCGGTGTTGGGCCACGTGACATCAATTTTCCAGCTAAATTTAGCTGAGAAACTGAATTCGTGTATATGCCTTGTGATATCAATATCACCGCTAAATTTAGCAGAAAATGAATAAACGGGCAGACAAGATTTTGGGATTGGGGTGTAGCATTAAAAAGCACTTTATGCTTTAAAAATATACTAAAAAATATCCTCCGAATTTAACTATAAAATATACGAAAACCGGAAACTTTACCCATAACATAGCTCGAAAAGGGTTTGTAAATGCACTTAATACATTTTGGAAGGTGCAGTAATAAACCCAATGGCAGGAAGTGGAGGCCAAATGCTTGGCAGTGCATGCAGCTGGATGGTCTCTCCTTGCTCAGGTACGTGCGTACCGGGACAACCCCAAGACACGGGCGCTGTTCCTGACCTACCCCGGCGAGGGCACCATCTACAACGTCATCGTGAGACAGACGACGCGGGAAGGCCAGGTGTTCGAGGCCGCCTACGTTCCCGTGGCAACCTACGGCTGCCTGTGGTTTTCACGAGTGGAAGCCTGCAACCAACGCGGTTAGTTCTTGGGCACGCTTCCCGTCTTGGTGGAGGGGCTCAGAATGCGGCCTTTCGCCCTTATTTGTCCCCTTCCCCCATTTGTGCGAGTAAGAACAGGTATAGAAAAGTTGGTCGCACCTCATTGTAGAGTGGTAAATTTAAAGGGAAAAGGGGGGGGGGGGGGGGGCAAATGGCCCTCTCCCAAATTGCCTCGTCGTTGGTGAAACAGCAATTACCTTTGTCTGTGACGTCACATCTGTTTGTCAGGTTAAATTTTTTTGACATAACGCCTTGTTGCAGTGACCCCCTCACCCCCGGCCAAATTCCCACCACTCCCCCTAGCCTGACCCGTAAATCCACCCCCGATTGTAGTTGTCTGTCCGGCTGTAGCTGGAGATGTTGCAGATGGCCAATAGAGATTGATCCGGATCCCTGTCCTCCTGTCCTGGTTCAGTTAATTTCTAAGTTGCTCTTGTAGGGTGCCACCAGCTTTATGTCTCGCGGATTAAAATGAACTGTTGGGCTAGGTGGGTAAAATACAAAAGTGTAAAGGACAAGGACAGAACTCTTTCTCTTTTCATGCATTAAACACTCGGTCGGACAGTAGGCACTTGTCGTGTCCATATCTTTGTTCTGTCCTTGTCCTTTGCACTTAAAAAGGTCTCTCAGATGCCTGGTAATGTTTTGGACTGCTCTCTTTCAGGAGGTCCCTGGGCTCTTTTTATGTCTCTGCTCTTGAGCCTTGCAGGGCTCATCATTTGCTTCAGGGGTCACCGGTACTTTCCTTTTCGTAAGTGGGTTCGCCTCGCAGTTTCTGCTCGGCCCGAGTGTGGACTTGATGTTGTCCTGTGTCCGCTCTTGCAGAAATGTTTTTCTTCGGGTTCCTCGCTCTCTCGCTGATCAGCTTCATGCTCTTCACAAAAGTCACGAGAATGTCAGCAAATGGTGAGTAATCTTTTTATTGCATTTGATTGTGGAATGTTTTTTTTTGTATTGTCAAAAGGGAACTGATTAGCCAGCATCATTAGATTAGTGTCTGATGACTTTTGCAGTTTGGTATTCATTGGGCATTGTCAGATATACTTGTCTGCTGCAGCACGTACCAAATGCCAACTACCGGACTTCAGAATGTTGCTTATTACAGCAGACATACCATTCAGCCTCGTTGTGAGAACAGTTGGTTGCAACCGATGGAGGTTTGTCATTTGCATGGCCCTGTTGCCTGACAGACGCTTAAAAGTCCTCAGATACTCGAAAGTGCTTGTGTCAAGACAGAAGCAGACGTAAGATTTATGGCAGGCCTGGTCACTTGTGCCTGTCACTTACTTGGCAGGAGCCTGTCCATAGTTTGCAGCAAATTGGGTCCTTGTGGGGACTGAGCAGGGGCCGATTGTTGTTGCAGAAGGAGTTCTGGCTGCCCTACTTGGTGGTGTGCTAGGTGGCATCTTTTGGATGCTCCTGTGGTACTTCCTGGCCATCCCAGTGCTGTCCATAGTTGTGCCAGGTCTCCTCTTGGGCTTCCTGATAGCAGCAATATTTCTCTTCACACCCGTTGGTGAGTGGATCCTGCCAGTATATGTATTGCATTTATAGAGGACGGGGCTAGGGTACCACTGTACGTAATTGCTTGTTGGTGACCGTGCGTTCGATCCTCACATAGATAATACAAGAGGGATTTGAGCTGTTGTGCACCTGGCTTTTGTTCTTTGTTGCTGCTAATGTCAAGGCTCTGTGCTCTTTGCAGGTGAAGCAGCTTTCCTGCAAAATAGCATCAGCTACTGGATCTTCCTGGGCTGCTTCACCTTGGTGCCACTGCTGCTTCTGCTACCACAGACCAAAATGGTGGGCATCTTCTGCTCTTGCAAATGTCATTCAGCTCTTGCAAATGTCATTCAACCCATTGTGTTTAACTTGCACAGCTATGTTTGACAGCAAGTACCATTGTGTTGGACATCTTTATAAACTTACAGCAGGCTATAAGTGATAGATGTGTTTTTCTAGCTGTCTTTTTCTTCTTGGAAGCGCTTTCTTAGCATTTTCGGTGCCACAAACAAGTCACAATAAATGCTATTCACACTTTTCTGAGGGCTACAAGGATGAACTCTGCCAGTCAAAAGAACTATCACTGCACAAGCACTTCCTGAGATAACAAGCTTGCACTCATAGCTTTTGTAACCCCTGGTTGTAGGATGAGAGAAACGGGGCATGTCCAACACATAGTTTTTCATCACAAGCTCCCTTTTTTTAGATCTTCAAACAGTATTACACCAGTAGTCATAAAAAAAAAAGCAGACTTTTGCCTGTTGTTTAAAAAATGTAATGGATTACAATTACAAATTACCAAGTCTCAAATGTAATCGATTTTCATCACAAATTACTTTTGCTAAAAAGCAGTGGGTTACTTTACTCGTTACATTGCAAATTACTTCACTTTACGTCTCCCGTACACTCATAAAAAAAAAAAAAATAACAATTTGATGTTTTTCAAAAATGTTCTGCAACACTATCAATTTCTCATATGCCAGCATTATGGCAGTCCTTGTAAAAATAAAATATTGTATTTAAGAGAAGGAATCTAGGTGCACTCCCTGTAACCTGTAAGCCGCCAAGGCAGCAAAAGCTGCAACCACATCCGCCATCCTGCTGTCTTATGGCGACCGGAAATTATCCCTGGAATTTTGCAGACAAAGCTAGGAGTGCACATGCTCAATAGCAGCGTCTACCTCCGCTAGGAGATCAAGAAGGCAACGCCCATTTGGCGTTGTATTGTTGGTCTTTGTTTTTCGCATATTTTGCGTAGGCCTTGCACGTTTTTCTGCTGGTTCTAGTGACCGGTCATACAAAAAATAGTGTCTTCTCTTCAGTTATTCTTCTCTTCGCAGTGTTTCCTATTTTGTTGAATTTGCTATCTTTATGCTGCTGAATGGCCTGTTCATATTGCTTCAGGTTATGTATAATATTCATATTTTAAAAAAAGTAACGGGTAATTAAAATAGTTCATTACAAATATTTTGTAACAAAATTGCCTCACAAATTACTGCTGCAAAAAAAAGTAATGTGGCAATTAGAAAATGACTTAAAAGGTAACAAATTACAAGTTATCCGTCACATGGAATGGATTACTTTCCAAGTCTGACAAAAAGCTCCTCCAGACTAACACCCCCCCTCCCCACACCCTTTGTTTGCTAAAGCAGTTGGTTAACATTTTCTCTTTGCAATTTCGACATTCACTGCCGTTCAGAATCCTGACCTGTTCCCTGCATGTTCTCTGTTGCAGCTAAGCATACTGTCTTGTTCGTTGGTGGGAAGCTACTGCGCCATCCTAGCCGCAGATGTGTACCTAGGCACGTCTCTGTCTTACATTATCCTCAACGTGATTCGACGGTCACTGGTTCCCGGTGGTTACAGTGCCAGCAACCAGGTGCCCTTCCAGATGAATGGTACGTCATTAGTTTGCAAATTGATGCTATGAATCTTCCTTGTGTAGCCATTACTCATCTGTATTTCAGTTGAGAAAACAGGTCACCACACTTGTATTCTTGTGCTGCCTGCACCGAAATGGGAATGACAGCACAGATAAAGTAAATATTACTACGGTTTGGGAAGGTCTTGGTCGATTTGACAAGATGAAGAAAAGAGCTAAATGAATTGTTTTTTGATTGTTGCTTAGGGCCTGCAGCTTGGTTAGTTTGACCGTCCATTCTATTGTCGAGACTTATGTAACCCTCGTGTATCTGTCTTCTTTTTCGTGGGCCATTGCTGGTGGATCTTTTTACAAAGTATTTACAGTCATTAAACATGAGAAAGATACATAGGGTCTGTCCCCCCTTTCTATGTATCTTCCGCCTGTTTAATTACTGTTACTAACACGCTCGTTTTGTACTTATTTACAATCATCCACATATACTACCATCTTTGGTTCCTGGTTCCCGGCTGAACCGTGGGTGTCCAAGCAGCTATTGGCTATATTTGCTGTCACCTCAAGAAGAAAGCAAGTTTTGCGTAATGTTCATAAGTCGCGCGAGTAATCCTTGCAAGATTGCTTGTTGGAGGAAGGAGCGATGTTTTTGGCATTTGAAATGTGCACATCTTGATAATATAATTTATATCTAACATATCTTAATTATTCTCATGAAGGGGGAAATTAGAAAAGCTCTGCTAGGAGCCGGCCTTTTTTTTACTGCGGTTCTTGAGGTGAAAACAAGTATACAGTCGAGCCCGGTTATAGCACACCCGGGTATTTCGAATTATTGTTTATATCGAACAGTCAAAACATCCCCTTGAAAATCACATTGTTCCGTATCGAACTCTCACGGCGGGGACAATTCATACAGCGAACGAAACGGCCGACCGTCGCTTCTCCCGCGGTCGGATTGCGCCGGCGGCGAGCACATACCTGGCGTTGCGGGGCTGCCAAGCCAACAGACGCGCACTGAGATACGCAGGGATACGCAGCAAATGATCAGTTGTAAAAAAAAAAAAAAAAAAAAAAAAAAAAAAACGTAAAAAAAGAAAAGGTGGAGGATGGCAAAAGCAAGGGGCACGCGCGCGCGTAGGTACTAGAGAGTGCCCGTTGTTGGAACGGAAGCGTGCGCTCTTTCCCCGAAACACCGCTGTCGGTGCGCGACTCCTTAGCGCCAAAATAAAATAAGCAAAAAATAAAAAATAAAAAAAAGTTTTTCTCAAGTTGAGTGCGTTGACAACAACGGTTGAGCAATCGCACCTTGAACGCCTTATCTTTGTTCACAATTTTCTTTTAGCCGTTTTTTTTTTTTTTTTTTTGCCTACTGAATTTAGTGGTTTCTTTTTTTGTTGCTTGCTTAACTTTATTTTATGGGCTGACTTTTTCCTTTCATTTTTTAAAGTTATTTTCGTGTTTTGTTGCCGGCGGTGTGTGGAGGTCGTGGCCAGGCGTAAACGATCGCAAACACATCGTCGCGTAAACGCGGCGGTGTTTGTGATCTTCACCAGCTAAGCTCCACTGTATTTAGCGGCTCTTAGTGGCTCTATTTGGTAAGGTCCCGTTTGTTGCAGCCTTCGGTATTAGCAGAGACGCGCGGAAATTTCACATTTTTTTGTATGTCAAGTTATCGAGATGTCGAACTATTTTACAATCCCCTTTGAGTTCGATATATCCGGGTTCGACTGTAGTTCCTCATATAACCGCATCACTGGCGTTGCCACTCTGTGTGTGCACAAATTGATGTCTTCTGGAAATCTTGTACCGGCTGGGTCCCGATACGTTCCCACCATTACTGCAGACGTCCTGCTGTCCTTGATTTGGGCCGGCCTCTGCATTGCGGGAGTGGTGCTGCAGACTTGGAGCGAAAGGGGCAGGGCCCCGTTCCCTCAGTCCCCATACCAGAAGTGGCTCCGAGAACGCAGCGACGCCGGGCGGCCGCTTCTGCGTACCGGCCCCGCGCCACCACCTTACTACGGCGCCGTCGGCGACACTGCCTCTCCTCGCGAGCCGCCTCCCCGCTACGGCGCACTCTGACCCCCACCACAGCCTCCCGACCTGTCCTTTCGGAAACGGCGCTGCTCTGAACAAAGTTTTCAGAACAAAGAGCCACGTCTCTGGCATGCTCCAAGTAGGGTGCCTTCATGTCCCGCTTCGAACATGAAGGCACTCTAGCTCCAAGCAGCCAGATGCGGAAGAAAACATGTCAGTGGTGGACTGGTCGTTGACCCCTGAAACGAGAAATCGCGCAATGCGGGATCCTTCGCTGTAAATGTTTGTTGTGTGGGAGAAGTGGAACTATACTAGTCATGGTGGGACCCTGTTACCCTGTGAGCAAAGCAAGTAGTGCGGGATGTGTTTTGTACGCCGGTTGCTGCGAACTGTATGACGCGTGGGAGCGGCATCCAAAGACGATTGTCGTGCCACTGCGACCGAAGGTTGTTTTTTTAGCCGCCTTGAAAGATAGATTGGGTTGCCGTTTTCGGCGAGTTGGAAGGGACACATATTTGAAGAGAAGTTTATTTTCTGTTCTTTTTCTCGAAGTGAGCCAAATTTAGACACCAAAGCTAAACCAATTTTGACTGAAATTTGAGGATTATCTTGGGATCCATCGTTTCCCAAAGGTAATAATCTGAAATCGCTCAGATTCGAGAAAAAAAAAAAAAAACAATGTAAAGGTGGCCACAGTACAGGGCTCAAAGCTAGTTCGATAAGCACACATTCCTGTTTATCTCAGTTTTGCTTGACATAAACTTGGCTCATTTAAAAAAAAAAATAAAAAAAATTTTTAGCAGATTTTTACACTTTGTCGAACGATTCAAAATGAAGCTGCCGCTTTCACAATTCCTCTTTATTCTTTCCTCCCATCTCGGCCACGATTCTTTGGGATGAGCTATTAAAAGTATGCTTCCTCGTCTCTGTCAATTGTGCTTGTCTTTGTTCGTTCTTTACAGCTTTATACAGTCTTGTATTCCATTTTGGGCCATACACATTCTGCAGTTGGAGCTGAGGCCTCTTGAACAGAACGAGCAGTGCCGCAAACAGTGGGTTTAGTGCAGACGAGGCGGTCGGACACGTAGGAAAGTGCTGCGCCGTATAGCAGCTGCCCGGTCGAGACAGGGTTAGCTTCCAAAAGACACTTGGAAGGACATGTTGATCGAACTACAAACTTGCGGGAGATGTAGCAGCTCTTGCTGCTATGCACGAAACTCTGAAGATCACGTGAACTGTAGGTCGCTACAGAACCGACTTTGAATTCAATTAAAGCAATACTAAACAATGTTGCAGATGCAGTTTTGCACGAGGCACCATCTTTAGGTTAGAAGACTGCTCTCGTGGGTTAACCAAACCGGGGTAAAGAGATGGTCGCGGAATCGCTGTCTGCTAATCGAGGTCGGGCAGATGCCGAAACCGCTGACCGGTAAAAAAAAAAAAAAAAAAAAAAGCACGAAACAGACAAAACTAGGAACATACAATGACAGGGTCACAGTTGCTTTGAATGGTCCTTTCAAAAACGCGTGTGTTTGACTAGATGAATTCGAGCTGACTTCACGAACGCTTGTTCGTCGTCCAATGGCTAGGCCTAATTAGGCCTAATGTGCATTGTTCCCGGTGCACGCAAAAAGCACCCAAACGATGATATCCGGAGTTGTTTCGGTGGCCCGGTGACGTTCGTCGAGCAGACTAATAGATGTTCCGTGATTGACGTAACCTTTCGTTGCAACGCCGGCACAGCTACAGAGTTTGAAGCTTAGAGTTGCTCTACTTGAGCATGAAGTCGGAAGAGCCATAAACATGAATTTCCAAAATGGGAGATTCGTCATTTCTAAATTAAACCAGCTTGCCTGCAACCACTTACCGGATGAGAACAGCAGGGCGTCCTTTGAATGCCCGATCTCTAGCACGCGTTTGTTGCCTTCCGTAGTGCTTTGGCTGTGTGTGCACGTTCGAGAATCACAAGATATACCAGCATTCTTGAAGGTCAAGAGCTCGTGCTGAAGGCGGGAAAACTGAAGGACCTCCTGTTTTCCTAAGGCCTGCCTGTGACTGTAGACGGGTCCATATCACATGAGCGAATGACGTTTTAGCGAAGAGCGCCATTTAAGCGAATCAACGTTTTAGCGAAAAACGGGGGTGCGTGGTAAACACCTCCTCCTCCCCTCTCCCTCCCCCCCCCCCCCCCCCCCCCCCTCCCCGCGATGCGCTCACGCCGCTTTTGCGGTGGCAGTCTGAGATGGCTCGTCACAAAAATGTTAACCCACTTGGCCCACCGGTAAATGCCGCTTCGTGTTGGCCAACTATTCGCTAAAGTGTCTTTCGATGAAAAGTCGGCGTTTGCTAAAACGTCGTTTGACCAACTGAGTGCTGCTGACTGTAGACGCCCATCAATGCCACTTTGACTCTGTAGCTTGGGCAGTGGATGCTTCTACGTAAATAGCATATTCCGTAATCTAGCAGACATGTGGGTTGTGGTTTCAAGCGAAAGGCACTAGAAAACTAAACTGATGCGCTTTCGCTTTAGAGTCCGATTTCAAGAGCATATGTAAGCTGTGCTCCCGGATATTTATAAGTTTAACAAATCAAAGCACAGCTCACTGATCGAACGATTCGCTTCCAGTTAGCAATATGACAAGTGGTTGGTAGTTTGAAACCGAGGGACTAAAATATCTTTCCGTCAAGTTCTCTTTGCCTGTGTATCAGGCACGTAGCGAGGATTTTGATTTGGAGGGGGGGGGGGGGGGGGGGGTGCCCATGACAAAATGCTGTATGACGGGAATGGGGGGAGAGGGGGCCCCAGCAAAATGGAAAGGGAAGATTTCTGGGGGAGGGGGGCCGGGCCCCATGCCCCCCCCCCCCCCCCCCCCCTTGGCTACGTGCTTAGTGTATATGTATGTTGTATATATCAAAATACGGCTCAATGTATGACTAGCTCCTTGCCAGGATGTGGCTGACCTGAAAGTTATTGCACAGAAGGGAAACGGTTACTATAGTCGGTGACAGGTTAAGGGTAAAGTGGATCCTCCTACCACCTTTTTCCGCTTTGGCAAAGCAAATGCTGGAAAGGACCTCCTCTCCAGCGTTCGCTCTGCTAAAGTGGAAAGAGGTGGGAGGAGCTTCCACTTCACTCTCGCGTCAGCGCGTCTCGCGGCATCTTACGTTAACCCGCGGCGACGCCAAGACGTACCTTGGCGGTGGCGGAAGCTCCGAAAAACCTACATAATGACGAACACGAAAGACGTCGTCAAATTTGTAAGGCTCCGATGCGACAAAATCATTACCACCGTCGCTGCATCGGCTGTTCCGCCATTGTACAGTATGCTCGGAGCTTCCAACAACTGACTCGCGGCAGTCGCAAAAAAACCACACTCCATACCAAAATAAAAAGAAAAAAAAGAGACAGGAGTAAATCGTCTGCGTGCTTCGTGACACCCAGTAGCTCCGCTAGCGTTGCAACGAAAGGAGACGAGAAAGACGGTTTCCGGAGGTCGCCGAAGACGGGCCAGCCTGGTTGACTAGGAGGCGGACTGGTCGCGGCGTGTGCGGCCGCTACTCCTTGGCGGAGCACGAAGGGGCCTGAAAGCTGTCCTGGAGGTTGGCGTACGACCTGGCGCCCTTGGCGAGGCTCAGGTCGGTCGGGTACCCAACCACGGGCCACTGTCACTGTAGCCGGGGCCAGTAGTTGGACGACAGGTCGGACGTCTGGCCCGGGACTTGCACGGGTACCGTCACGCCCGGGGAGATCACACCTGCGCAGCAACGAGAGTCGTACTCGCGGACAAACTTCTGCGCGCGGATCGACGGAGCATCGACTCAACCCCACTTGGGCAGCGAGGCTAACATCAAACGTGTGAACGCTGAAAACGACACAAGTGTGCTACAAATACTACACAATTACAGAAACACAGCGATAAAGGGAAAAGCACATTACTGCAATGTGACGCTGCCAGATACCAAACACTGCCTCGGCCGCTATGGCTATGCGCACAGGGAGCGAACAGAAGCATCCAGCAATCCATATACAGTTGAGCAACATATTTCCGGTAATGAAGTGGCGACCACAGATACGGACGCGTTCGATGTATGCGAGCAAGCCAGAGGCTTCGGCGTCTGTAAGCTCACACTGTCGTGTTATAACCTTTGGCAAACAGTGCAGCCCTACATTTGGCTCTGTGTCACTCTGCTGTGCAGAGGAATTGCTTCTGCTTCGGCAGCCGAACATCGCGCACATTGGCATGACTGCACCACTGCGACCGTGACCGCATACCAGAAGAAAGAAATGTGCACTGTGTGCTCCGCAAACGCCGTAGCGACGCAGTCAACCCGTACTAAAATGTCAGATCGCAGCGGTTTCGGTTTGGATGCGCGCGGTTCTAAACTTGTGGATAGTTCAGATCCGCGCGAATCCTATCTGGTATCACGCGGTTCTTGGTGTAACCAGTCGGATCCAGTGCGACGCAACGCACTGGAACCGCACTGTGATGGGTGGATCCGGTCCGTTCCCCTTGGTTCCAGTAGGGTCGGTAGGGGCTCCTTCCAGCCAGCGGGCGCGCACATGCGTAACTGGAGGAAGGAAGGGGGAGGGGGGGGGGGGGGGGGCGGTCGGCAGGGAGGGGAACTTTCGCGGTCTCGCAGGCGTTCTCCGCGCGCGCGCCTCGCATTGTCTGTTGCAGTCGGCGGCAGCGCCCCGAGAGTTTAGGTTCCTCTTCGCTCTCGTCGGACTGTCGGTCGGCGCTCGCCCGGTGGTGACGTTTGTGCTGCGGGCGCACGGATACTGACAAGCCCATCGTTTCCCTGGATGGATACCCACTGACCTCGTCTTTGAATCTTCGTGCAGTGTGAAACTGCCGACCCATTGCACTTTGGTTCGGCATCTGGATGCGCTTGGCGCTGGTGTGCTTGGTGACAATACTTGGACAACTCGGATACCGCTTGCCCGCCGGAACTTCCCAGGCCCAGGCTATTCCGCCTGGGCCTGAAATCGTGACGATCTCTCGCTTGTAACGGCTAAAGGCATCGTGCGAAATACTTTTGTAGAATCCAGTGGTGAGCGCAGCGGGAATTTCGGCGGCGCAACACCTGGGTCTGAAATTGGGGCACCGGTTGGTACTGCGCTAACCAGTGGCTCTGCAGACTCACCGGAACCAGCCGGTTCCGCCTGGATGTAAAATTAGGGCACCAGTTTGTATCCCGTCTGGAACTGCGCGATTCCAGGCTGGATACAAACTGGTGCCCCAATTTCGGGTCCAGGCGGAAGCGGCATTTTTCATCCCGGCCTGTATCTGACATTTTCGTACGGGTAATGCAGCAGCGGCCAACGTTGCCGGCGCCGATCCCGGAACCGTGTCAGTACCTGGTAATATATCCCATAAGCCCCGGCTGTGAAGTCTGTGAAAACTATGTGTATTTCATTTGCGCGGAAATTTTACGGCTCACTCCAGCGCGTTCCATCGGTTCTTCCGTTCTCTTTACGAAAAATTAAAATATAAATAAATAAAATCTTAAAATCCGAATTCACCATGCCCTGCAAAGCGTTTCTGGTCTTTATTTTTTTCCCAATTTGCATTGCGTTTGTTAGATTTACTGTATGGGACTCTAGCAACACATTAAAAATATAACGAAGAAACCTGATAGGTTTTGAACATAATAGTTAAACGAAGTTGAGAATTCTGAGCACATTTTCTATTGTTGATGACATCATTGGGCTGAACCAACAGAGAACTGAAACGACAAGAGCGTGAGACAACCATGCACGATCTTCCTGCTTGCTGGAATTACCATCCAGTTATGAAGATGTGAACCAAAATATGAGTCAGAATCACGCGCTTGAAAGAATCAGAAAAGGTCACGTGCGCCAATCCAGCCAGTCCTACTTCTAGAATTCACTCTAGACCAATGCCGTCACTGAACGCTCGTGTTTGACACTGATAAGCACGCGCTTCGATGCAGCATTTGGTTTTCTTCGTTAAAGCCCCTCTAACCTGGGAAAGTGGCGCCATTCATTGTTATGGAAAGGCTCGAGACACGTGCCACGCGCTACTTCTGGGTAGAACATGGCGTCTGAATTCTAGCTCAGTACTGCGCTGTACAGCCATAATCTTCTCGAGGGCTGCACGTTGCACGTGCCTCCTGCATCGACACACTTTGCGCTACTTTTAAAACTTGAAGGGGCTTTATTCTTCGTCCCTTTGCAGTGTCCCTTTAACGAAGTGCGGTCAGTGCACACAAAAGAGCCAATGCCGGATGTCCGTGCCCTACGCGAGCAGCTTTCCGTTGCATTTGCGAGGAGAGGAGCAGAGCGCGTGCACAGCTTTGATGAGTTCCCAAGCACGCGCTCCCGTACTTTTGGCCAACGATCTCAGATCAGTTCACAAGCTCCATGAAAGAGCGGCGTTCGAAATTGGTTTTCTGTTGCTTGCGACGAAGTGCAGGCGAATAGCGTCCCCATAGTGTACGTCACGAGAGCCACGAGTGAAGTAACCCTCGTGACGTCAAACGGGCACACCCTTCCCTCCCCTCCTCCTCCTCAAGAGCTGCGCTCTAATTCGGCATTACAGGGAATTGTAAACGTTTTTCATTTTTTTTTTGTTTCCTTTCGCTCTTAGTCACGCGGGTTTCATATTTGGTATGCAGGACGCAAACATAATAAACCACATCAACCTGGAATATGCGAGAAAATATAGGTGAAGCAAAACAAGATTTTTCCAGCTGCGTGGAGAGATCAAAACGATGTTTTAACGATACCACAAGTGACGACATTCAAGATGGCTGCGCCCTTGTGGAAAAGATGCGTAGCACGTGGCTTCCTGCTGCATGTCATCAACAATGCACCACCTAAAGGCACGCCTCTGTGAAATTTCACTCCCTTTAATGGTTTACTTATACAACTTTTTTTTAGTGCTAGAATGGAGCTGAGAGACACACGCTGTAAATGTATTAAGTTCTTCCGCAGCATTGTTGCCAATGTTAAACCCTCGCCGGGAAACTGAGGGGAGAGGAGGCGACAAGAGTGCGCGGTGTCATCAGAACGCCAGCTCTGACTGCATGGTATGATTACATGGTCCGCGTTCGAATGCTAACGCGGAACGCTGAACGACGATGTTTGGGAATCGAACGCGTTCGAAGTGTGAGCAGAAACAAAGGCAGCTACTGTGTATAGCTTCACGTCTACCCACTAACCGCTCCAATCAGAGCTCGACGTTCTGACGTCCCTCTCGTCTCCTCCTCTCCCTCAGTTTCTCGGCGCACATGCGGAGAGCAAGTCGTCTGGTTCTTGCGCATGAGCTGTGGTGACGTCAGAACGACGCCGAGCTTTGATTGGCTCTGATTAAAAGGATACAGTCGATACCGGTTATAACGAAGTTCGTTATAACGAAATAGCGGCTACAGCGAAGCGATCACGATTTCTCATTCCCTTTTGCATTTCGTTATAACCGAAGTCGGTTATAACGAAATAGCGGATATTGCGAAGTAACTTCCGAATCCTGTTGTCTTCGTTATAACCGGTCTCGACAGTAGTGGATAGACCTCAATGCTATAGATGCCTCGAGCAATACCCACTATTTTTCTCAATCAGCCAATAAGAGCTCGGCGTTCTGGCAGCATCGCAAACCCTGTGCTGCAAGAAGCAGACAAACTTGCGCTCCGCATACTACGTCTCATACATAGTAGGCTCGTTCGATTTACCCGCACCTCCTGCACCGGTGCAGAAAAGTGTAGGGCAGTGTACTTCCGGTCGGATCCCAATACACATACCGGAAGTACACTGCCCTACACTCATCTGCACCGGTGCAGCAGGTACAGGTACTGTAAATCGAACTAGTGTACAACGCTGCTAGAGCTTCTGGCGCGAGCGCCTGGCTTCATCTGAATTCTTAGCACTTCTCATTTGCGCGAAGGAACGCGTAAATTAACCGCGAAATCAAGCCCCACGCTCGCGTCGGCAGATCTGACATCGTTGTGGGAAAGAGACGCCAAACGAAGACACACGCGCTCAGGTAGCTTTCGCCGTGTTCCAAAATTTACTCGATCTTACTCCAGGGTAAGGGTTTTGTACCCTTGGCGTTCTAAAATTTACCCGCGTCCAGCATTTTTCAATCTGCTGTCATGTGATACGATCCGCCGGAGTAATTCGGATCCATTTGGGTAAAATTTGGAACACGGCCTTTGACAGCGTTGGAATCAGGGGCGTTGGAAGTATTCGGAAGAGATGAAGCGGCGGTCGAGGGTGGCAGTAACTAAAACTGCCGCCACTAGAAGAAAAACAAAAGGAGGGGGGGGGGGGGGGGGGGGAGTTTGTTTGTTTCGACTACAGTGGTTGAAACACCGCGGAGACCAAAACAGTCCTTGACAACGTGGTACAAAAAAGGTGGCGCTAAGTAATAAAGCTCTCGTTTGCCTTCCCACACCTCGCCGGTGATACGTGTCTGACGAGACCTCGACGCCGTGGTTCTGAAATGTCCCGTTTGAGAGCAGTAGACGCCGGCACCGGGCCTCTCACTTGACAGCATGTACGCTCGTGTTTTCTTAAACACGAGCCCATTGCCGTAGCGAACGACTCGGAGCAGTAGTGAACGACTCGGAGCAGCAGCAAAGCAAGAAAACATACCTACTTAAAAAAAAAAAAAAAAACGGAGACAGGGGAAAAGGAAGGGACAAACACCAACGAAATGTTTGTCCCCTCCTTTTAACCTGTCTCGGGTTGTTCACTAGGTGTAGCCTGTCTGTGCCCCAACTCTTCTTTGAGGACGTACCTGCGGCTCCGTGGGGGCTTGCGCCGCTGACGGCGTACGCGGCGGGGTGGCCCCCGGCGATGGCCCCCTGGGCGGCCTGGTTGGCCGACGCCCTGGAGTAGGCCCCCAGCCCCAAGGTGTCGTGCAGCATGTAGGAGTACGAGGCCGCCGCCGCCGCGTCCCGCTGCTGCTGCTGCAGGCACTGGCTGGGCCCCATGCCGGCCGCCATCGGGCTGCGTCATGTTGACATGGAACGAGCACGTCGGCAAGGCAGCTCCAAGTGGAGTGGACAATAAAATTCAAGATGATTTAAATTGCGATCTAAATTGTGGTTTAAGTCACGATTTAAATCACACTGGACTTACTACGATAATTTAAATCAAACTTTTCCCGCAAAACCGTCGGACTTTATTTCTGCCCTACGCTGCGTTCGTCAGTTCCGACATGTCCTATTACAAGCAGATCAGAAAGCCAAAAAAAAAAGCAAATAAAGCTGTTTTTTTTTTTTTTTTTTTACCGTCTAAAAGATATCAATCTGTTTTTGTTCCTGTGTTTGGAGAGGGGGTTGTATACATAACAATATAATTAAATTAGTTCAAATGTAAACAATTCTCCTTTTCAATCAATTTGCCGTATTTAAATACGTATGTTGATAAAAAATCATTTTTATATCTACGGTCATTTAAATTAAATTAACCTGATTTAATTTATATTTTTTAAGATTTTTTTTTTTATGGTTCCCATCCTGGAGGTGCGCATGCAAACAGCATATACAGTGGGGGCAGCGACAACCTGAAACGTCGAGGTTACCATAGAACTCTCGGTCTGTCAAAACCGGAAAGGATATATACCAGGGAGCGAGACACAAGAGATATGAAGAACAAACACAGTGATCTGATTGTCACAGGGTGTCGAACCGGAACTAAACTGAACCAAAAACCGGAACCGGACCGTTATTTTTAGCAAAAAAAAAAAAGAAAAAAAACTGAACTGAACTTAAATCGTCACCGCCATCTTGGAACTGAAACGTAAGTGAACAAGAAAATAAATAAACGATAACCGCTTCAAGACGGTTCACGGTAATTTTTATTGTTATTATTATTAGCACCAGGAAATGAATTTTTGGGAATAAAATATTGAAAGTTGTATTTCCAAATCGTCATATAAAGAATTGCAGTGTATAAAAACTGCGGGTTTTTGGCGCTTTTCTATTGGCACTACGATTAATCACATGTCACGGGGTCACGTGACGTCATGGTGTCAAGACATGCTGTCAAGTAATGTCGCGTCACGTGATGTCTTGACGTAACACGACGTGACTCACAGCGTTAGGTCGACTTAAATTGTGAACGCCACTAGGCGTATTAGCGTTGTTGACACCGCGAGGTCACATGGCATCACGACTTCCCTCCATGAGTCACCTGAGAACGTTACGTACTCGACTGTCATGAGCCAGAGTCGAGCGCTCGGGTTTATTATAATCAGCATTCCCAAACATTCGAGTAATGGCTCATGTTGATGCGAAAGCATTAACTGTCTCACGCAGCGAGCTGACGTCATCAGTTTGAAGCGCGAAAACGGCACTTAGTTTTCGCGATCCCAATAGGAGTGAAGTAAAGCTGATAGATTTCGCCTTCGGTTCCATTGGCTGGCGCGCGTCGACGGGGCTCCCAATGGCCGCTTCGGTTGTCAGTTTCCACGACCGCTCACCCCATGGCGCTGCGTGTCTCTCAGCGCGCCGCTAACACGGAGCGTCCAAGGTCAGCGTGCCCAGGGGAGCACACGCGTTGACCGGCAACGAAAAGTACGCAGCAGACGAAAAAGGGAGAGGAGGAGCGGACGAGCGGCTTGCGTGCTTTCGCATTCACAACTCATTAGAAATTTTTAGGTGTACCTCGATCTTTTAAATCAAAGCTGAGAATAGCCGAACTGTAACAGTGTCTGAAGCTCAGACTATGCTCTATGCTTTGCCATCCCCAGCGCATGACCATGATGAACCCTGACGATATATAATGTGTGTCAGATCACGCAGCCGCTTGTTCTAATAGACCGACAGCTAAATTACGCAAGCATCGAGGAGAATGAAGGGAATGTAAGTACACGCGCTGCACGCGCTAGCCTTTTCCGTTTAAAAGATTCGCAGTAAACAACCAATAGAAGAGGGCGTTTACAAACGCGCGTGCAGGATGCCCTTTGTTTTAGGCCTTTGCTTTAGAACAGTTACTGCTGCAGACGCCAGCACAAACAGCGCTTATAGCTACACTCGCAACATGCCCCTTGGTGCTTGGGTAACTTAGTAGAAGGTCTATAGCGAGTTAAAGGGAAGATGGGGCACTTCTACATTTGAGAAAAAAATGCTTGAATTGCGTTCATTTGGCCTTTAGATTAACAGATATCAAAATTGTATTTCAATGCGAAGCGCCGGAGAGCCATACGAGAAATTTCAAAATAGGACTGAAGCCCCGCCTCCCTAGCCTTGGGCAGCCAAAAGAGCCGTCGATGACGTAACGGACAGCGACTGTCTTTCGCGTTTTTCTCGCGTTTAACAATACTTACGCAGCAAATGGTTTGGGTATTCGGGCTCACGGGATAAAAATACACTAGAATTCACTTCTAACTCATTTTTTCCAAGAAGCTCCGTAGCTTCCCTTTAAGGAGGGAAAAGCTGTTTCTTTATGTTATTCTGTCTGCGTCTGCCATTGCGCGGAGAGAAAAACTAATGAGTGTTTTACACGTACAAAATGTGTTTTACAAGTACAAGATTGTTGTACGCCCCGTTTTACATGTATACATCATTGAGGCACCCAAACATGTTTTTGTTGTTGATGAACTGCCTCAGAATATTGTCCCCGAGAAGGGAAGCATTTGAAGGACTAAAGACGAAACGTGACCTATTAATTCGACGTTTCGGGAGTCTTTTCTATCTTTCTTTTCGGGTATCCCACCCGAAAAGAAAGATAGTACAGTGGCCTCAGAGGAACAGCCGAGCAGTGGCAGCTGTTAAAAGACTCACAGGAGTGTCGTTCTCAAGTTCTTCCTCAAGCCTCGATCACCTCCGTATTTGGTTTCAATTTCACAGCTTTGAGGGGGCAAGATAAAATTAATGGAGGATTACTGTTAACAAGTGACACGGCTTTAATTGTCGAATTAACACCCCCCAGTGGAGGAGGGAGTCCCTCAGGAATTAAAAAGTATTCTATAGAAAAACAAAAACAAAAAAGGGTGGGGGGAGAGGGGAGTTTTAGAAACATACTGTATTATAAAGGTTCGCGTCTGCCCCACATCTTTGGCACAGACCAGGGAACCAGTTCAGTTTTCTGGTGAAGAGCGATGTTAGTAACACTAGCAAAAGTAGATGGCGAAATTGTAAAGTAAAAGCAGTCTCATGGTGATATACGGCAGCCTAATAAAATGTTAGAGCGCATGACTGATAAAGCACAGACCAGTAAAGTGAGGGCACAAAACAAGTGCACGAACAACCGAATATGACATTCGCCCGAGGCAGTATTTTGCAAAGTTTAGAGTTCACGCAAGCAGATGCCCGAACGTGATTGATTTATATTAGGATTAAAACACTATTCGTCATTCCATGCTTTATTTATGTGTAATTAGGAATATCGTTCCATATATGTAATTCTTCTTTTTTTTCAGTAATGCATCGTATTTTGGATTCTCTCGAAGAATTCAATTTATTATATTTCTTTGTCTGCACATTTTGTGTACCTCCCTTCAGATCTATCATGTGAGTTCAAAGTCCCTTTTGGCATTGCCTAAATATGCATCATTAGTAAATTCACCCCCAAATTATCTGCAAATTTGCGGGAAAGCCTCAAATTTGATATATAAAACTATGTGTTCCTAAAACTTATATGCCCTCTCAAACATATAGAAGTAAGTTACTGCCTCTTTTCTGTGATGAACACCGACTTTATCTGTCTGTGGGCTGGACAAAAACAAAGTACACAGGGGTGCGCGGCGGAACTACGACATTTGCCCACACAGACCGTCAGAAAGTGACCAATCAAATATCTGCTATGTCGAGTAGAGCATGCAATACTACATCATTCTATGGTAACCACAGATCATCAATTAACAAGGGTGATGCCTATTTTCAAATTAAATTGACCGGCGTCTTGTCAGGAACCAATATCAACAGCCAGGCTATGCGCAGTTTATTCTGTATAAAAAAATGTTCACATGGGTACGTGATATTTTAAGCCAGATTCGATCTGAGTACTTAGGTACGTATAGATGAGAATGAACAATTTTGATCACTTCTTTCAGCGTGATTCTTCCCCAGCATCACAGTGCTCAGTGTAAACAATGTTGGTTGGGGAAACAAGCAGTGTGCTTGCCACTCGGTGTTTCTATCACAGGTATAGACTGAAATGGCTTGTCCTAAAACTTCCGTGCAGTTTTAAAAATATAATTGCTTATAGCTCACGTCATCATATATATTGTGCAACGTAGTTCGTAAACTATCTTTCACAATATATAGGGCGACGAAGTGCCCATTTCATGATTCTGTGTACTGTAATTGATTCCTTAGTTCAAAAACGTAACTGCGATTCGATTTTTTATACTGCGACGGAAAGTTTAATCACTGGCATTTTATGGGACCTACCACACTTCATGACAACCTTTGGATGCAGGAAAATATATGAGTGAGGTAAAGAAACGGATGTTGAGTCGTATAAACACGACGTCTTGTATGTTATTCTATATTTCTTTTGCAGTTTCGTCGAAACTAATTAAGGAAATTTCTTATTTTTGTTACCAGAAAACAAAAGTGGATTGTACGAACGACAAAAAAGCTAAATATATTTACTCGTTTCACGGCGGAAACAGTCCCTATTGCAAAAACAACGCGGAAAGTATAATCTCAATTTAGTTCAATAATGGTTCAAATCGATTTGAACCGTTATTCTTGCTCCCCGGTACTGAACCAAGTGCCGTGAACCTGGACTGAACCGACAAAAGTTTGGGTTCGACACTAGTGATTGAGTCGATTGAAGAAGAGTGGTTGTTTGGGCGAGTTGGTTTGACATCTTATACAATCTTGTGCGCAATAAAGACGAGGACAAAAGCAGAGAAGAGGACACGACAAGGCGCAACTTTCAACTGAATTTTATTGAAAACGTGTTCCGGTGTATATATAGTCTCAACCCTCGTTACAATGACAACAAAAAAAAAAAAGACAAAAGTAAAGGGAAAAAAACACCATGACAGAGCA